ATTTCTGACTCCAGCATCAGCAGTTCTTACTATCTCTAAGAAAACCTCTTGCTGCTTAGCACATTCTATGCCCCAAACCCCTATTCAGTTAATGAATAAGTTCTTCTCTATGTTTCTTTGTTTAGTACCACTTGGAGGAAGCACTGAGGGCGGCTAGAATGGATTCTGGATGAGAAATTTCAATATCCATAACCAAAAGTGACTCTGTAACACCACAACAGACCAAGCTGAGTGCATGTAAAAGGATATTACTGCTAGGCTGGGTTTGCAGCTAGTGGGGGAACTATCAAGATAGAAAAACCTACTGATCTACCTGTCAAAAATGCATCTATCCATAACAGTATTAGAAAGAGTGACCACAACACAGTCCTTGTAGAGACTATGTCCCATGTTCACAGTGAGGTTACTCTCAATCATGTTGTGTGGCATTATCTCTGAGCTAAATGGGACAGACTTCAAACAGATCTAGCAACTCAAGACTGGGCATCCATGAGGTGCTGTGGGCCATCAACAGCAGCAGAATTGTATTCCAGCACAATCTGTAACCTCATGGCCCTGCATATCCCCCACTCAACCATTACCATCAAGCCAGGGGATCAACCCTGGTTCAATGGAGAGTGCAGGAGGGCATGCCAGGAGCAGCACCAGGCATACCTGAAGATGAGGTATCAACCTGGTGAAGCCACCAAACAGGACTACTTGCACACCAAACAGCGAAAGCAGCAAGTGATAGACAGAGCTAAGCGATCCCACAACCGATGGATCAGATCTAAGCTCTGCAGTCCTGACACATCCAGTGGTGAATGGTGGTGGACAATTAAACAACTCACTGGAGGAGGAGGCTCCACAAATATCCCCATCCTCAATGAGGAAAGGGCCCAGTATCAGTGCAAAAGATAAGGCTGAATTATTTGCATCCATCTTCAGCCAGAAATGTTGAGTGGATGATCCATCTCAGCCTCCTCCAGCATCAAAGATACCAGTCTTCAGCGTTGAATTCACTCCATGTGATATCAAGCAACAGGTGAAGGATGCTCAAAGACTTTGATCCCTGATAATATTCTTGTAATAGTACTGAAGATGTATGCTATAGACCAAGCTGCACTCCTAGTCAAGCTGTTTCAGTGCAGTTGCAATGTTGGCATCTACCCAACAATGTGGAAAATTGCCCACTTTATGTCCTGTACACACAAATAAAGCAAGACAAATCTGAGTGCCCTATCAGTCAAGTCTTGATCATCAGCAAAGTAATAAAAGCAGTCATTGACAGACCTATGAAGTAACACTTCTCGAGCAATAACCTGTTTAGTAATGTGGGGCTTGTGTTTTGCCAGGCACATTCAGCCCTGATTTCATTACAGCATTCCTCCAAACATGGAGAAACGAGCTGAACTCTGGAGGGCAGGGTGACCACCCTTGACATCAAGGCAGCATGTGACTTGGGCAGGACAGGAGTCGATGGAAATCAGGGAAATGTCTCTGTCAGCTGGAATCAGAGAAAGGTGGTTGTGGCTGGTGGAAGTCAATCATCTGAACCTTAGCACATCACTGTAGGAGTTGCTCAGAATAGCATCCAATCTTCAGCGACTTCATCAATGACCTTCCTCCATCATAAGGTCAGAAGTGGGGATGTTCCCCAATGATTGTGTAATGTTCAGCACCATTCACGACTCCTCAAGTACTGAAGCAGTCCATGTTCAAATGCAACAAGACCTGGATAATGTCCAAGCTTGGGCTGACAGGTGGCAGGTACATTTTTCAGTATGCAGGTGCCAACAATGACCATTTCCAATAAAAGAGAGTCTAATCAGTGCCACCTGATGTTCAACGGCATTACATCACTGAATCCCCCACTATGCCCTGGGGGTTACCATTGACTAGAAATCAAACTGAACTCACAATATAAATGCTATGGTTGCAACAGCAGGTCAGAAGCCAGAAAATTCTGCATATAAACTGATGTTTTCCCAGCCACCATCAGTTCTGAGGAAGGGTCACCGGACCTGAAATGTTAACTCTGCTTTCTCATTCATAGATGCTGCCAGACCTGCTGAGCTTTTCCAGCAACTTTGTTTTTGTTCCTGATTTACAGCATCCACAGTTCTTTTGGTTTTTATTGACTACATGGATTTTACTAAAGCATTTGACAAGGTTCCTCATGGTAGGCTGGTTCAGAAGATTAAATCACATGGGATCAATAATGAGTTGGTAGGTTGGGTATAAAATTGGCTTGGTCATAGAAGACAGAGGGTAGTTTGGAAAGGTGTTTTTCTGATGGGACATCTGTGACCAGTGATGTTCCACAAGGATCAATGCTGGGACCTCTGGTGTTTGTAATTTATATATAAATGATTTGGATGAAAATGTAGGTGGTCTGACTAGTAAGTTTACAGACAACATGAAAATTGGTGGAGCTGTCAGTAGTAAGTAAGGCTGTTAAAAGGATTGAACCGAATATAGATCAGTTGGAAAGTTGGGTGGAGAAGTGGCAGATGGAGTTTAATCTGGACAATGTGAGGCGATGCATTTTGGGAAGTCAAATACTCGAGGAAAGTATACAGTAATTGACAGGACCTTTAGGAACATTGATACACAGAGGGATCTTGGGGTGTAGCTCCATAGCTTGCTGAAAGTGGCAGAACAAGTTGATAAGGTGGTAAAGAAGGCATACGGCATGCTTGCCTGCATCGGTCAGGGCATTGGGTATAAAAGTTGGCAAGTCATGGTGCAGCTGTATTAACCTTCATTTAGGCCACATTTGCAGTTTCGTGGTGTTCATTTCTGGTTGCCACACTGTAGGAAGGATGTGGAAGCTTTGAAGAGGGTGCAAACAAGGTTTACCAGGAAGTTATCGGATTGGGGTGTATTAGCTAAAAGGAGAGGTCGGACAAGCTTGGATTGTTTTCTTTAGAACGTCAGAGGCTGAGGACTGACATAATATAAAATAACGAGAGGCATGGATAGTGTGGATAGCCAATATCTCTTTCCCAGGATGGAAATGTCGAATACTAGGGGCATAGGTTGAATGTGAGAGGAGGAAAGTTTAAAGGAAATGTGTGGGGCAGCTTTTTCACACAGAGGGTGGAACACACTGCCAGGGGAGGTACCATAAGCAGAAACAACAGCAACATTTAAGAGATATTTTGACAAACTAATGAACAGGCAGGTAATAGAGAGGTAAGAAAGCATGGGCAGGCAAATGGGATTAGATTAGATTGGCATCGTGTCTGGTACAGACATGGTGGGCTGAAGGGCCTGTTCTTCCTTTGTAGTGTGTTCAAGGTGAAGAAGGCAGCTTACCACTTCCTTCTGAAGGGCAATTAGAAGTGAACAATAATGCTGGACTTGCCAGCAACACCTTCATCCCATGAGCCATTAAAAAAATGTACCCCTACACCAGTTAACGAGGTGAATATGCTCCACTGAGCCTGTCAACATTGAATTGGATCAAAGAGTAGGCTGAAGCAAAATATTGCGAAAACAGGCATTGGAAATAAGCAGAAGGTCAGGCAGTATTGGCAGGGAAAGGGAAGCAAAGATAATATTTCGGCTTCATGACCCTTTGTTGGAACTCAAATCAGCCTATGCTGGTCTCATCAATACCATTCTAAAAGTAACCTTAAGCTTTTGGTTTTTCTTAAGCTTTATTTGTTTTATTTACTTCTCAGCAGCAACTTTGCCAGTTGGCTTTCAAGCTGTCCCTGCCCCATGAAAGTCAGTGGCTTGGTTCCCAGTTCATCATTTGTGTGATGGTTGTCTGAAGAATTGCCAAAAGCCTCACGTGACATCATGTCCTTTTGAAATTGTCTTCATTCAGCGTTTAACAGGATGCCTAACGCTCTTAGCTGTAAGTGTTTCTAGGGAGCATCTAGGATAAAGATTTGTCTATTGCCTCTAACAGTTGAAAGTTGTGTTACACTGGTAGCACTTCCATATCTGTCAAAAGATTATGGATTTATATCCTTCCCAGAGACGTGAGGACAAAAGTTCTAGCTGAAACTTCAGAGCAATGCAGGGGGAGAGCTTTACTTGGAAAGATATTGTTTTAAAATTGAGACATTGAGTTAAGGCCCCATCTTCTGTCTCAGGTGGATGACAAAGATTGCAGGACACTATTTTGAATAGTGAGTGATTGTCCAGGCTAATATTCATTAATCAATGGATTATTCAGATATTGACACATTGCTGTTTGTGTGACCTAGCTATGTACTACTTTCCTTTTCTATTCCAGGAAATACACTTGAATTTCATTAGTGCTTTGTGGTTGTCTGATGTTGTGAAAAATACCATGTAAATGTAAGTGTTTCTTCTTTCCAGAAATTGAAATGTTATATTCACAGCCTCTGGTAGCTGTGAGACGGGCTTTATTTAAGTCGGCAAATGCTTTCTCCAAATGATGTGACAACCCTTCTGACTATACTTGTCAAGACAGATGACTTTACTTGTAATTTTGAATTTTAACTCATTTCACAGAATACAACTCAGAAGTTGGTGCTGTCACAATAAATTGTACATAGCCCAACCCTGTTACTTTTGCTCACGTCTGTACTTTTACATTAAGTCAAGTCTTGGTTATGTGATTGTCACAATTTTCATGTTTTCAGAAAGTTGAATTCTCTTGGGTCTCCAGTCACTCCTATCGGCAAACTTCACACTTCCTTCCATCCAAGTGCTTATCTAGGGTATCAATATGTGACTCAGAGATTAGAAGACGTCTTACTCCACAGACCAGTGACAACAATAACACATGTACCTTGACATGGATCCCTTTCTATGCACTATGGACTGAAAGCATTGTCTGAAGACAGGCAGAGCTTCACACCAATAACTGTTTATATAAATGTGATTTTCACAATGCGAATAACTCACTTTCCGATGTTCCCTGGTAACTAGATTTTAAAATAGGGCTTATCTACTTTGGGGTAACCATTCTAAACTAATCAAGTACCGGTCTTTAAAAATAGGCAGTTTTGTTGTTGTTGCCAGATCCGTCTGCCACATGGAGAAACAGGAGATGACATACTTCTGTGAACTTCTCCCGAATCAGTCTAATTAATGAGAAAAAAAAATGTCGATTCATAGTTTATCAATAATGGGACTACTTCAGTGAACTGTGTTGACTTTGATATGTAAGTAAGAGATATAGCTGCTGTGGGGTGTGTTTTAATTGGGGCAATTGAGTGAAGTTGGACATGTTTGGTGTTTGGGCTGGGTGTTGGTGTTAAATAGGGAAATATTCCAACATTTCCAATCCAGAGACTTCTGGGTTTGATTAAGGCAGGGCAATGGGCAAGTAACCAACTTAAGGTTGGCATCTTCAAAATGTTATTGTGGTTGACCGGCTGGGATTTAACTTGCTTTTGTGATTGAACACTGGCTGGGGGTTTTCTCAGGTCTTTTCCATTGCACTGAGGTCAGGGTATTTCTGGGGAGGAGGCAAATGCCATCACAGGTCTGTGTATTGCTTCATCCCAATACCCCAAGACCACAAGCAGCTGCTCCCTCCACAGGCAAATGGGGATAGCCCCACATCAGGTTCCTTTCTCCAAATTCAACAGTTTAACTTCAGCCATGGGGAAAATTCTAGAAACAATTATTCTAGCTAGGATTAATAATTGCATGAACAATGTGGCTTAAATTGGAAGACCCAACATTAACTTGTTAAAGGAAAATCATGTCTAACTGACTTGCTGAAGTTTTTTGAAGAGGTGATAGGGTGCAGAAAAGATTTGCAAGATTGTTGCTGGGACTGGAGGGTTTGAGTAATAGGGAGAGGCTGAATAGGTTGGTGCTTTTTTTCCCTGGAGTGTCAGAGACTGAGGGGTGATATCATAGAGGTTTATATAATTATGAGGGACATAGATAAGGTGAATAGCCTAGGTCTTTTTTCCCAGCTTTGGGAAGTTTAAAACTAAATGATGTAGTTTTACGATGAGAAAGGAAAGATTTAATAACGACCTGAGGGGTAACTTTTTCACACAGAGGGTAGTAGAGATATGGGCCAAATGCTGGCAAATGGGATCAGGTCAGATTGGGATGTCTGATTGGCATGGAAGAGTTGGACCAACTGGTCTGTTTCTGTGCTGTACGAATCTATGACTCTAATTCTCCAAACCATATCTCCATCCCAACCCTATCCATGCACCAGGTAATTGTCCAGACCCAAGTCACTGACAGCGCTGCTTTGAAATACTGTCCCCTTGATCCCCAGTTTCTGCTTGTGAGTTCATGGTGCTCCTCACAGGAAAAAAAACATTCAAATAGCTTTTGATTGGATAAGTAAGGAGTCCATGTTTCCACGGCACTCAGATTTAAAGTAGCTGAGTAGCTGTCAAGACAAGCTCAGAGGAGGCATGTCAAAAGAAAACAATTCTGCAAATTGTTGAAATCTGAACGTATGGTCTGAAGTGTTAATGGGAGCAGACTCATATATTATCAATCAAATAGTGAGCAGATATCCAATTGCAAATAGAAAGAATTGCACGGTGATGAGGCAAATATCTCGGGCTATCGATCTAATTAGCTAGCGTTCTCCAAGGATTAGTGCAGATTGCATTGCCCATAATACCTTAAGGCCATTAGGCTTTGGAGGAGAAGGAAGATATGTACCTAGAGTGGGAAAGTGGGACTAGTGTGGGTGGCAGTATATTATTGGTGGTACAGACTCAATGGGCTGAATGGCCTCTTCTGTACTCTATGATTCTAAGATTCTGGGTCATCCATCCCATTGAGTCAGTGTATCATCTTTCATTGAGATCATGGCTGATCTGATAATCCTCACCTCTACTTCCTTATGTTTACCCCATAACCCTTGATTCTGTCAAACCCTGCAGAATACATAATGACCCAGCCACGACAACCCTCTGTAGTAAAGAATTTGACAAATTTCTCTGTCCTCTGAGAGATGAAATTCTTCCTGATCTTTGTCTCAAAAGGGTGACTGTTATTCTGAGATGATGCCCTCTGGTCCTAGGTTCTCCCACAAGGGGAAAAAGTTTTTCCACATCTACCCTGTCAAGCCCCCGACAAATCTTGTTTCAATGAGGTTACCTCTCAATCTTTTAAATTCCAATGAGTATAGGCCCAACTTACACAACCTTTTCGAATAAAACAGTCCCTCTATCCCTGGAATCAGCCATCTCTGGGCTGCCACCAATGTCACCACCAAGTTAATGGCCTGCTCCTGCTGTAAATCCAAAAGAGACAAGGTGGAGTTTAAGCCACATGGTGCTAATTTGCCATAAAGGCTGCCCTGAAATGGAAAACCCTCCAGCTCAGCTCGCTAAACATTACCAAGTCTTTTAACCAAAATCCAAGGTTGGAAATTAAAGCCAAAAAGTACTTGGAGTTCCCTGACATTAAACAGTAAATTAGTGTCACACATACTGCTTTATGATGTTCACGGCAAGATGCTCTGAGATTTTGGGAGACTGACATCAGTTTCTAAAAAGAGCAGCAAATCCCAGAATAAGGTGAGTGTTGGGTGGAGTGAGAGTGCAAAGGAGAGAGAGCAAGGGAGAGGTTTCAGACTGGACCCTGGGGAATACTGCTTTCACAGAGGGTCAGTGTCAAACAGGACCCTGGGGGATGCTGTGTTCAGAGGGTCAGGATCAAACTGGACCCTGGGGGAAACTGTGTTCAGAGGGT